GGGGCTGCGGCCGCCAGGCGCTTCCCGCGGGCTCCTGCCTCGGAGGCGGAGCAGGCCCCCGAGTGCCCGGCCTCAGGCAGACCCTGAGTGCTCTCCCTCTTCGCAGTCAAGGCCACCATGCCCATCTGGGTGGTCCTCCTGTCGCGGATCATCATGAAGGAGAAACAGAGCACCAAGGTAAGCCCGGCGGGGCCTGACGCCGTGCTGCGGTTCCCGGATCCTGGCCGCAGGCCTGCCGCTTCCTGGAAACGTGGAAGTGGGCGTGAGACTGCCTGGCCCTCTCTAGCTGCTGCTGGCAAGGCGGGCACAGGCGCGGTGTGGGCATAGTGACCCTCTGTGGCCTCCGCTGCGTGGGCCCTCCCAGTTTTGACCCCATCTGGGGCCGCTGGAGGTGGCCTTGGCTTGGCCCCCTCTAGGCTAAGCAGTCATGTACGCGTCTCCGGTGAGGCTGAGGGCTTGCAGCTCTGCTTGTCGCAGTTCGCTTCCTTGCAAGAGAGAGAACGGCCAGGGCACTCCCAGGGAAGCAAGATGGGAGTCTAAGGACTTGGTTTTAAAATCCAGCAAGTCTGAGAAATCAGAGCAGTTTGGAACGGTAGTGCTCTGGGAGTGCCAGAGACCGCCACAGACAGTGCTCAGACTGCGAGCGGAAGGTCTGAGCCAGGTCTAGGTGCCCGGTCCGGGTATTCCCTTGCCGGTGTCCTTAGGAGGAAGTCGGCTCCTGTTGTTCCAGCTGGAATCCGCTTCCTGTTGGACATGGTGCCTCTTTTCCACGCAGTTAGTTTTTGGCATCTTTTATGTAACTCAGAGCACTGTGCCCTGGATCAACTTATAGAAACTGGGCCACTTCTGGCCAATTTTCATTCCAGCCTTTTTCCCAGCAAGCCCTGTGTGTACGCTGCAGCCCCCTGCCTGAGTGATACCAGAGTGTGACCTGCCTCCTGGGGTTGGAGTTCCACCTAGCAGCATCACCTGATATCATGCTGTGCTTATCAGGTTTCTCCGTGGCATGGGACATTGTACCCAACTGGGCAGGGAGCCGGCAGTGTCATACAGCGAGGAAGGACTAGGATTGGCCCACACAGCCGATGATAATGACATCATAACCTCCAGGGACCCACCCTGCCAGGCAGATAAGGCAGGTGGCCATGCTTCCCAGTGTCAGGTCCTCCCAGGATGGACACAAGAAGGGGCGTCACATGCCTGTGGAGGGCCACATCCAGTGGTGAGGGGCTGGAGTTCCGGTCCTCAGTCCACAGTCCTCATTTGCTGTCCCAGGGGCACCACCACCCGCCTCCTACAATCTTCACCTTGCCTTAAGTGTGTTGTAGAGGCTGGGCACAGTGGCTCATGCTTGAAATCCCAGTGCTTTGGAAGACCAAGGCAAGAGGATCACTTGAGACCAGGAGTTCGAGACCTACCTAGGCAACATACTAAGACCCCATTTCTTTTAGATTTAAAAATACAGTTTATTTAAAAAAGTAAATTAGAGAGAGGAGATTCACCCCCCCCCAAGGTATGGGAAGGGGCCAAAGCTAGGAAAACAATGGCAGCCATAGTTCAACGAGCGCATGTCCTGACCAGTGGTTAGCAAAGCAATGGCTGTAAGACCCCATTTCTTTTTTTTTGAGTCCGAGTCTCACTGCATTCCCCAGGCTGGAATGCAGTGGCACACAGGCTCATCATGGCCACCGCAGCCTCGACCTGCTGGGCTCCAGTAATCCTTCCACCTCAGCCTTCCAAGCAGCCGGAACTACAGGCATACACTACCACACCCAGCTAACTTTTTGATTTATTGTAGAGACAGGTCTCGCCAAGTTGCCCGAACTGGTCTCAAACCCGCGGGCTCAGGCAATCCACTTGCCTTGGCCTCCCAAAGTGCAGGGATTACAGGCTGAGCCACTGAGTCTGGCCGAGATCCCATTTCTACAAAAAATAAAATAATTAGCTGAGTGTGGTGGCACACACTTGTAGTCCCAATGACTCAGGAGATTGAGGCAGGAGGCTCACTTGAACCCAGGACTTAGAGGCTGCCGTGAGCCATGATCACGTCACTGCACTCCAGCCTCTAGAGACAGAGTAAGACCCTATTTCTAAAAAGAGAGTTCTTGTAAGACAGAGTTGAGCCAGAATTGGGAGAGGTAGACACAGGGAAGGGATCCTACTGGGTCCCGGAGGATGGGAGCTGTTTAGCCACCAGACCCTGGCATGCCGGACCTTCCGGAAGGCCTTGCACTCCGCTGCTCGTTGAGTGCCGACTGTGTGCCGGGCAGTGGGATGGAACAATGAGCAGGGACTTGCCCTGAAATCGTGCGGGATTAACGGGGCCAGATGACTTTGCAGACAGTTATAGAAGGTGCTCTGTGGGGGAGCCCAGGTGGGCTCCAGGAACCTCCCGGGTGCAGATGGCTCAGGGGAAGCTCTCTGTTTGAATGGCGGGCAGAGTGTCCTGGCCAGGAGTCGCACACAGGAAGAGCCCAGAACGAGAGGGCAAGGGAGCGTCACGCAGGGCCAGGACTTCAAGCACGGTGGGTCCATGGCCTGGGTGGAGGCTGCTGAGTAGGAACCAGCCCCAGACTGGTAACGGGTGGGGGTGGGGCTGTCACCATCTGCCCAGGAGACCCCCTTCTCCCAGGGCGGTGCGGGAAGAGGGCAGAACCGTGTTGGGGGCCCGGCTCCAGCCTCGCCTTTGACCCTGCAGGTGTACTTGTCCCTCATTCCCATCATCAGCGGCGTCCTGCTGGCCACGGTCACTGAGCTGTCCTTTGACATGTGGGGGCTCGTCAGCGCCCTGGCTGCCACGCTCTGCTTCTCGCTGCAGAACATATTCTCCAAGAAGGTATGCAGGCACTGTCCGGACATGCGTGGCGTTGTGGGGGATGGGGCAAGCCGGGGACATTTGAAAAACGGGCCGGGTAGAGATTCTTTCAGGGTTGGAACAACAACAAAAAACCTTCCCGCCATTCTGCTGACACCCTGTTGTCTTCCTTTAAAATAATTTATGGCTTTCTAATGTAAAATTAACACGCGTTCCGTGTCAGGAAATAGAGAAAAGCCTCCAGTGAAAGATGTTAAGGTTATTGAGCAGGCGCTGTGCTGGGCACTCAGGACGGAGACCCGAGAGCCCTGCCCGGGGCTTCCGCGTATCCAGTCAGACCCCGCCGAGACCCCCGGGTGGCTGCAGTGGCCGTGAGGGCCTTTTCTGCACAGATCCTAGGGTTCTGGTATTGCCGATCCGGTAACAGTCTCGCTTCGTGCGTTTGTTGTCAGGCCGTAGCAGTTTCCTGTGCCATTAAGAACTAGTGCTCTCGGCTGGGCACGGTGGCTCATGCCTGCAGTCCTAGCACTTTCTGAGGGGGAAGCAGAGGACTGCTCAAGGCCAGGAGTCAGAGATGAGCCTGGGCAATACAGCGAGACCCCATGTCTGTAAGAAATTATGAAGTTAACTGGGTGTGATGGTGTGTGTAGTCCCAGCTGCTTGAGAAGCAGAGGCGGGAGGATCACTTGAGCCCAGGGGGTGAAGGCCACAGAGACCTTTGATCGCACCACTGCACTCCAGCCTGGGCAACAGAGCAAGACCCTATCTCTAAAAGAACTATCTTAAGGGAAAATAATCTTTACACTGTTGCACCTAACTCCTGTGATAATCGCACAGTTTTCAGGTACCACAATGAATGCAGTTTCCTGTTGGAAGTACAGTTTATTTCTAACTTTCATTATAATATAGAGATGATCTTTATACATGATGTTTTTCTGTTTCTTAGGTTGTTTCTTTGTGATAGGCTTACAGTTTTGGGGTCAGGGACATGGCTTAAAATAATGTGCCTGGTTATCTTCTGGAAAGGCTGTTTCAATTCATACTTATGCTGGCATGATTTTGGAGTGCTAGTTTTACAGCATCTTCACCAGGGTTGAGTGTTACAGGTTTTCTTTTTCTTTTCTTGGTCCTTTATACATGTAACATGATGCTTGTTTGGGGCATGTACTGTGTATCTCATCGCAGATACACTTACAGGTTTGGGGTTCGAGGTCCGACATTGGGACCAGCGCACAGTTGCCATGTGTGAAGCCTGGGTAACTGGGGTGCCTCGTGCCCCCATGTCATTTCCGCTGGCCTGTGAAGAGGCTCTCTCTCCCCAGGTGCTAAGAGACTCGCGAATCCACCACCTGCGCCTGCTGAACATCCTGGGCTGCCACGCCGTCTTCTTCATGGTCCCCACCTGGGTCCTGGTGGACCTCTCGGCCTTCCTGGTCAGCAGCGACTTGGTGAGTGGCCGCCTGCTGTTTCACGGGCGCCTGGCAGCTGGTCTTGGGCTCTCTGTTATGACTCGGCTACACAGTCGAGCAAGTGGCTTCTTGTGCATCTTGTCTCTGGCGAGCCTGGTCCCAGCTGCTGTTGCCACTGCATTTGTGCCTGTAACATTGAGGAAGGAAAAGCCAGCATGGCTGACTATTCCCGTCCTGACCGTCTGACTCAGGCCCCACTTTGACATTTTTTTCTTTCTTTTTTTTTTAGACTGAGTCTCACTCTTGTTGCCCAGGCAGGAGTGCAGTGGTACGACCATAGCTCACTGTAGCCTCAACCTTCTGGGCTCAAGCCATCCTTCTGCCTCAGCCTCCATACACCACCACACCTGGCTATTTGAAAAATTTTTTTGTAGAGCTGACGTCTCGCTGTGTTGCCCAAGCTGGTCTTGAACTCCTGAGCTAAAACAATCCTCCCGACCGGGTGGGGTGGCTCATACCTGTAACCCCAGCACGTAGGGAGTCCGAGGTGGGAGGATTGCTTGAGACCAGTAATTTGTGATCAACCTGGCAATGCAGCAAGAACTTGTCACTATTTTTTTTAAAAAAGCAATCCTCCTGCTTTGACCTCCCAAAGTCCTGGGATTACAGGTGTGAGCACCCAGCCTCACTTTGACTTTTTAAAACTGTGCCGCTCATTCCTTCTCTGTCCATATTTGGTTTACTCCTGATGGAATCCCTAGCCACCTGCAGGGTTAGCCTCCAGAGAAGGTGCTAGCAACAGATGCAGGTGACTGGTAAGGAGGCGGCATGATCCCTGCAGCAGACCCGAGTTAGGAAGGTAGTGTAAGCACTGCGTGGGCACGGCGTGGCCTGGCTGACGGGTGACACCTCTTATCTTTGGTCCTGGCCCTGTGAGGTGGCGAATGGCCTCCACCTTCCCAGTGAGCAGACCTCAGCTCTGCCCTTCCATTACACATTCAAGCTGGTTCTCCTACCTGGCAAGCCTTGCCTGGAGGCCCGGGCAGGGAGATGCCGGAGTGCTTGCCGCCAGCCGTGTTCACTGGATGTCTGAGTCGGGGCTGGGCTGACTGCCCGCACTGGCCTGGGAGCTGAAGTCCTGTCCCTCTGGGACTGGGGAGGGTCTCTCGTCCACAGTATTGTTGTGACCCTCATGTACTGATCAGGTGTGCAGGCGGCTCCTCGTCCTGGCTCAGCCAACCCTTCTGACAGGCTCTCTGCTTCTCCCGCCGCAGGGTGGGGGGCAGCTCTGGGCCCAGGGCCCCCTTGCTCCGTGCACCTCCTGTCCAGCCTGCAGTTGGAGCTTGGTGTGCTGAGTGGGGCAGCGTTTTCAGTCAAGTTGTCACTGCTGCCAGGCCTTTGCCGGGAAGAGACAGGAGGCAGATACATGGCAGTGAGGGGGGCTCGTGGCAGTCAGGTCCTGCAACAGCTCACACTCCAGGACTTGTGCCACTGAGGCTGTCTGCATCTTGTGCCTGGGAGGCCGCGGTGCCGGCTGCTCCCCATGCCTCCTCCTTCTGCCCCAGGTGTTCCTTCTGCTCCTCCACGTGCCCCTGGAGCTGGCGCGTCTGGAGAGACTCCCCACAGGATGGCTGCAGCAGGGCACAAGGGATGGTCAGTGTGGAAGAAGAAATCATCCCTCCTTAGTTTTGTCATTAAAGTATGACATGGGGACTCAGAGATTGGGGGAGTGAGGCAGCTCTTTTGATCTCATTCTTGCAAGAATGGGTGCCTCTCGGGTGAGCAGGCACACTGAAGAAGTCACAGCCAGCGATTTATGTCCTAGAACGCAAGTCCTTCTCCTGGTTTCCCATTGGTTGGGTTTTTGTAGGAGTTACACGCTTTCCCGTGGACACCTACATGTTACATGTCGACTGGTTTTACAGAATTATCTCATTTACATGTCCTATTTGCCAACTGGCTTACAGGATTACTATTCTGTAGATTAGATTCCGCCAAAAGGTTAAACATATAGCTTGCCAAAGCAAAAAGCTCATGAAAAGGAAACACAAAGCAGGAAGTGAATCAACAGAAGAGAAGCACAAAGCATTTAGCCACCATCTTGAGAACCCAAGATAAGCTAGCCTCCAATTTGAAAATAAATCACCATTCTTAATTCTCACAGTCAGGGTCTCTCTGCAGTTCCATTTGTCGCTAGGACATGCTTTGTGCAGAGGTGCAATCACAGTGCTGTGTCTGGGGCCACCAGACACATGCCAGTCCCCCACGGCTGTGTACCTGGGTGTTTCCTGCATTGACTTCCATTTGCTTTCCATTTTTAGCAGCTGCTTTTTCATGGATGTGAAGCTCTTATCATTCCAAAGCCAAACTAGGGAACCAGATTTATTCGGAGAAGTCCCCTCAGTTCTTGTCCCTCCCTAAAGGAATCGGCTCTCATTGTTCTGACCTACCTTTCTGTAGTTTTGCAAATATAAGCAAATGCACATGTATATAATGCCCTCCCTCGTCCAGCACCCAGCCTACAGTCAAAAGTACTCCAGCAAAAAGGAAAAACAGTAACAGTGCAGTAATACAAAACAATACGGTGTAACAACTGTTTACCTGGCTTGAATAGTTAACCCCCGCCAAACACCACTGAAAAGACTTGGCAAGCAGAACTAAGGTGGGAGCCAGTGTGACAGGGTGCCACACGCAAGGCCAAGGGAGTCTTATGCAAATGCCACGCCATTTCACATCAGGAACTGCAGCATCCACGACTGGATGCCCGCAGGGTCCCAGGCTCAGAGCACCATGGGCAGCCAGACCCTCTGCACCTTGCTCCTCATGTGGCGTCCTGGAGCTCTTTCCGTGGACGTGCATGGGCTTCTGTGTTTCTTTTAGGGCCGCTTGATGCCATCGGTAAGTTTGGAGTCGGTTTCATTGCGTTCCCATGCTGTAGTTCCTTGGTGCATGTATGTCCATGTACAGACAGGAACGTGCGGGCTTCTGCTGTGTTGCTGGATTTTGTGTTTTCTGGCATTTAACGGTTTTTAGGCCGGGTGTGGTGGCTCATGTCTGTAATCCTAGCACTTTGGGAAGCCAAAGTGTCCCAAAGTGCGAGGATCACTTGAAGCCAGGAGTTTGAGACCAGCCCAGGCAACATAGCAAGACCCCATCTCTATTTAAAAACAATTTTTAATGAATTTTTTTGTTTTAAAAACTCAACTCTTTAAAGCTTTCTTTCAGCAACTTTTTTTTGCAATAAAAAAGGGTTTTTAGCCGGGCTCGGTGGCTCAGCCTGTAATCCCGCGCCTTTGGGAGGCTGAGGTGAGTGGATTGCCTGAGCCTGCGGGTTTGAGACCCGCCTGGGCAGCGAGACCTCATCTCTACAATAAATCAAAAAATCAGCCGGGCATGGTAGCGCATGCCTGTAATTCCGGCTACTTGGAAGGCTGAGGCGGAAGGATCGCCGGAGCCCAGCGGATCGAGGCTGTGGGGGCCGGGAGCGGCCACTGCACTCCAGTTTGGGCAACAGAGTGAGACTCCAACTCAAAAAAAAAAAGAAAAAGGGTTTTTAGTAACCTCCTTTTTTGGTTGAGGCTACACATGTGTTTCCAGCATGAGGGGCCCGTGTATGTTTTAGTGGTAGCCCCAGGGACACACAGTCACCACTACTGCAGCCTGCAGGGGGTCCCCTCATGTCTGGGCCCCTCTGTCTTGTGTGCCCACGTAGACACACAGGTTGGCTAGCACTGTCCCGGTCCAGCACAGAGGGAGGAGGGCCAGACATGAGGCACCTGCGGCCCAGCACCTGGCCAGGACCACAGGCTCATAGACCATTCCCCAAGAGATGCCAGCTGCTGAGGCTCTTCAGGCTCGGGGAAAGCCAACCGGGACCGCCAGACCCTGGAGCTGGTGGGCTGGCACCGAGCAGCCCCTCAAGGACAGAGACATGGAGGGCAGCCAGCAGGGAGGAGACCGGGGCTCAGCTGCTGAGCCAGGCGGTGTGTCTGGGACTCTCTCTTCCGTGCCCGCAGCCCGACCTGGAGTGAAAATGGAGCCCTCTGCTTAAGCCAGCAGAGTGAACAAGGACCCCTGACCTGGGGGGGATTCCTGCTGGGCTTTCTCTTTTCTTTTTCCCCCATTTTCTTGTGTCCTGGGTGCTGGGAGTCCCTTGAGTGCCAGAACAGACAGGGAGCCTGCCTCTGCAGCTGGAGGAGGTGGCGTCCTAAGAGGAAGGGATTAACCCTGGCACATCTTTTCCTCTCTTCATACTTTCCCTGCTTGGCCCCCAAATGGGGGTGTAGTGACAGGACATGGTAACTCAGCCCAGCTTTCTGACTGGAGGACAGAAAAAAGGAGACCTAGGAGATGAGGAAGCACCTGGAAGCTCGTGGGCAGGAGCAGCTCGGGAAAGTGGCCTCATAGAGTGGCTCACAGAAGCCTGGGCAGCATTGTGAGACCCCTGTCTCTTCAAAAAGGTAAAAAATTATCCAGGTATGGTGACACACACCTGTAGTCCCAGCGACTTGGGAGGCTGAAGTGGGAGGATCGCTTGAGCCCAAGAGTTTGAGACCAGCCTGGCAACATAGTAAAACCTCATTAGAAAAAAAAAATTCAAAGATTAGCCAGGCATGGCAGTTTACACCTGTAGTCCCAGCTACTCAGGAAGCTGAGGCAGGAGAATCACTTGAGGCCAGGAGTTCTAGGCTGCAGTAAGCTGTTATCATGCCACTGCACTCCAGCCTGGGTGACAGACCAGTTCCTGGAATCTGGGATTGTGGGGTAGATGCTGCCCAGATGTGAGGCTGACCCACTGGGTAGCAAGCACCCAGGACATAGCCATTTAGCTCTTGGAGAGGCCCTGAAAGCAGAGCGAACTTTGGAACCACAGCCACCGAAAGTGACTAGGCTTATGGTGTCCGTTGCCTGCTCCATGGCATGTTACACTTAGCGTCAGGTTTAAGTAAGACCCCAGTCTTAGAATGTGCCCAATGCCCAGATACAATCCAGAAGTACTCTGCAGACAAAGAACTGGGAAAACTCAAGGTCATGTAGGAGAAGACAGCCAGCAGAGGCCAGCGGTGTGATGGCAGATGTTGGGATTATCAGACAGACACGAAAGCAGCAATGAAAATCGTGCTCCAAGAAGCAAAGGCAGACACATGGGAAGAGGCAGACTGACAGAAGAACCAAATGGAATTGTAAAATGGAAAACTCTTAAAAGCTCACTGAACGGGCTCCATAGCAGAGTGGCGGTGACAGGAAAGAGTTGATAACTTTGGAGATAGATCGGTAGAGATGAATCCAGCTTGAGCAACAGACAAAGCAGGCTACATGGCAGTGAGCAGATCCTTGAGGATCATACAAGTGGCCCCACAAACTGCTGAAAAGCAAAAACAAAGATTCTTGAAAGCCAGAGAAAATGACGCATTAAGTATAGTGCTGAAATGAAAGCACTTTGAGCCCACAAGTCTCTATCCAGCAAATACGGAGTGTCTGGCATCAGCAGACCTGTGAGATACCAGCAGGGATGCAGGGCTGGGCACTACCAGCCGCTAAACAACTCATTTATAGAGCACTGATGCTCTTCCCAAGCACGTGTGGAACATTCACCCAGATGGGCCACATTCTGTGTCATAAGACAAATCTTGACACATTTTAATGGCCTGAAATCATGCAGTGTGGCCAGGCATGGTGGTTCATGCCTGTCATCCCAGCACTTTGGAAGGCTGAGACAAGAGGACTGCCTGAGCTCAGGTTTGAGATCACCCAGGCAACATGGTGAGGCCCTGTCTCTATAATAAATCAAAAAAGTAGCTGGGCATGGTGGTGCGTGCTCCAGCTACTTGGAAGGCTGAGGTGGAAGGATGTCCTGAGCCCAGCAGGTCAAGACTGCGGTGGCCATGAGCATACCACTGCATTCCAGCTTGGGCAACAGAGTGAGACTCTGACTCAAAAAATAAATAAATTGTGCAACATAAATTCTCTGACCATAACAGAATTGGAATTCTCCAAAACTCCAGATACTTGGACATTCAGCAACACATTTCTCAAGAATCTATGGGCCAAGGAAGAAAATTGGAATAATCTTTATGAGAGTCATCCTTAGACATCACACCAAAAGCAAAGTCCAAATTTAAGAAAAAATTGGTAAATGGGGCTTCATCAAATTTAAACACTCTTGCTCTTCAGAAACACTGAAGTGATTGGAAAGACAAGCCGTAGACTGGGAGAAAATATTTGCAGATGACATACTACCCAGAGGACTCGTGTTCAGTACATGTAAAGAACTTTCAGCTCAGCAGTAAGGAACAACCCAATTTAGAAATGGGGAGGGCTGGGCTCGGTGGCTCAGCCTGTAATCCCACGCTTTGGGAGGCCGAAGTGAGTGAATTGCCTGAGCCCGCGGGTTCGAGATCCGCCTGGGCAACTTGGTGAGACCTCATCTCTACAATAAAACAAAAAAATTAGCTGGGCGTGGTAGCGCGTGCCTGTAGTTCTGGCTACTTGGAAGGCTAAGGCGGAAGGATCGCCGGAGCCCAACAGGCTGAGGCTGCGGTGGTCAGGAGAGGCCACTGCACTCCAGTCTCAGCGACAGAGAGGACTCCAACTCAAAAAAAAAAAGGGGGGGGGGAGAAGACTCAAAATGTGCATACAGAATATAAACATGCATAGGAAGTGTACCAACATGTTCAGCCCTCAAGAAGATGCAGCCACAGTGAGATAGATACCCTTGTGCCAAGGATGAGCATGTCAGGATGGGGCACATCTGGAATGGTCACATGTGGCAAATGCAAGATGGTGTCACCACTCCAGAACACATGTAGGAGTGTATGTGAACTTATACCAGCCAGGTGCAGTGGCTCAGCCAGTAATCCCAGCACTTTGAGAGGACAAGGGTTTGAGATCAGCCTAGGTAGCATAGTGAGACCTCATCTCTAAAAAATAATTAAAAATTAAGAGAAAAAGTTGGCTGGGCGTGGTGGCTCATGCCTGTAATCCCAGCACTTTGGGAGGTGGAGGTGAGAGGATCGCCTGAGCCCACAGGTTTGAGACTAGCTTGGGCAACTTGGTGAGACCTCATCTCTACAATAACTCAAAAAGCCAGCTAGCTGTGGTGCACATGCCTATGGTTCCAGCTTCTTGGGAAACAGGTAGAAGGATCACCTGAGCCCAGTAGGTCAAAGCAGCGGTGGCCATGAGTGTGCCACCGTGTTCCAGCCTGAGTGACGGACTCCAGCTTAAAAAAAAACGAAACAAAAAGTTAAACACCTAGCTACCCCACTCCTGGTTGTTTAAAGAAATGAAACTTAAGTTCATGCCAAATCATCAATACAGTTGTATACAGCAACTGTATTGATGATTACCAAGAACTGGAAACCACCCAGATGTCCTTTAGCAAGTGAACGGATAGGAAACGTGGGTGTTCATACAACGACATCACTTGGCAATAAAGATGCCAATTTGAATGAGTGAAGGAAGCCATCTCAGGAGGTGCCATGCTGTGTGATTCCACCTACAGGACAGTCTCCAAAGGACAGACCTATGGCGAGAGACCTTGGTGGTTACTGGGTTGGTATGGGGGACACCGAGGAGTTTTGGGGGGACAGCTGGATTGTGATTGTAGGTGGTCACACAAATCCACACACCTGTTAAAATGCTGTGTGGGATTGCACGCAGGAGGGAGAAACCATTGACTTTATTTTATTGCATGTCTGTTTTTTTAAACTGGAGGGCCTGGGTTCCTTTCCCGGGAGACAGGTGTCTATGCAGGCTGTAAGAAAATAACTTGGAGCTGGGCTTGGTGAGTGGATTGCCTGAGCCCGTGGGTTCGAGACCCGCCTGGGCAACTTGGCGAGACTGTCATCTCTCCAATAAATCAAAAAATCATCGTGACCCGCCTGGGCAACTTGGTGAGACCTCATCTCTCCAATAAATCAAAAAATCAGCCGGGCATGGTAGCGCATGCCTGGAATCCTGGCTACTCGGAAGGCTGAGGCGGAAGGATCGTCGGAGCCCAGCAGGTTGAGGCTGCGGTGGCCGGGAGCGGCCACTACACTCCAGTCTGGGCAACAGAGTGAGACTGCAACTCAAAACAAACAAACAGAAAATTAGCCAGGTGTGGTAGTGCATGCCTGTAATTTCGGCTACTTGGGAGGCTGAGGCAGAACGATCGATGGAGCCTAGCAGGTCGAGGCTGCAGTGGCTGGGAGCGGCCACTGCACTCCAGTCTGGGCGACGGAGTGAGACTCCAACTGAAAAAAAAAAGAAAGAAAGAAAATAACTTGGAAGTCCTTGTTGGTTGCCCGGGGCGGGACTCCTGGGTGCAGGCTGCCTCCCCTGAAGGCATCTGGTGGGCTCTGCCTTACAGAGGCTGTTGCTTCAACAAGGCTGTCCCAGTAGGAGGTTGGGATGTGTGACACGTGGTCCAAGTCTTGATTTGGTTGACTTCGGATCACCTAACGTTACCTTCCTCACCTTTGAGGACCATGGAACCCTGCTCTCTCTTGGGCGGTGGAGAAGCAATGAGGCAGCCATCCTGAGACACCTCCAGCTCTGTCTTGGGCCACCAGGCACCATCATCCTGACCACAGCTGTGTCCTCTGTAGCTGAGGCCTGGGGATTGGCCTAGAGGGCAGAAGCCACTGAGGGGTTGACTTTGCTGTCCATTCCCAGCCAGGCCACTCTGCCCTCTGACCCCAGGGACACTGAGCTGCCCTAGGACTCCTGTCTGGTCACAGACACCCAGGTGGCAGCAGCCTGAGTCCCAACCTGGAGTACTGGACTGAGAACGGACCGCATGCCCTCTGGAGTCCAGTCCTGAGTAGGCGTCCATCGACACCCGGCAGCTGGACTGATGGAGGGTGACGTCCTGGTCTCTTGCCTCGGGGTCCTGTGGTCCCCACGTCAGCTTGTGTGGCTTCTTGACTTCTGATCCCCAGCATGGCCACGTTAATTGAGGGCCAGAGGATGACTGAGGCTCAGTGAGTTTGCTTGGCTGGGATCACTTGACAGCACTTCCAAAGCCACGGTTTGGTTTGATCTTCACGGCCACAGTGTTGTAGGGACCGAGCAGGACGCCCCCACCGCTGACATTGAGGAGACAGAGAAGCAGACCAAGGGACCACAGCTCTGGCACACAGCATGGCACCCCGTGCTCTTGCATCAGTCTGTCCTACGCAGCCCCATTCCCAGACCTCCACCTCCAGCCTGTGGCATGCCTGCAAGCAGACCCTGACCCCAGCAAACCTGAAGTCTGACTGAGTCAGCTCTTACTGTAAGCTGGAGGAGACCCAAGGGTCCTGAGCTCTGGGCGCTTGTGGGCCAGTCCTGAGAGTAGGCTTTGGCTTCTGTGTGCTCTGTGCCCGGGCAGTGGCTTTGCTGTCCTTTCCTCCGCAGGGGTGCCTTATAGGTCATGCATGCACAGCACCCTGTGTGACCACCACACGCCTAGGCTCATGGCGGCCAGCGGTGGGAACTGGGAGTGCATTGGTATCCCCCCACCTGCCCACTGGGTGGAGTGGGAGGGTTCGCGAGTGCTAAGACGTGTCCTCTCCTCTCCACAGACCTATGTGTCCCAGTGGCCCTGGACACTGCTGCTCCTGGCCATCAGCGGCTTCTGCAACTTGGCCCAGAATGTCATTGCCTTCAGCATCCTCAGCCTCGTCAGTCCCCTGAGCTACTCGGTTGCCAATGCCACCAAGAGAATCATGGTCATCACTGTGTCCCTGGTCATGCTGCGCAACCCAGTCACCAGCACCAATGTCCTCGGCATGATGACGGCCATCTTGGGTGTCTTCCTGTACAACAAGGTGAGCAGGGGTGGGGACTGTCCCTTCAATGCCCAGGGAAGGTGGGACGGGAAGGGCCCTGGAGCAGGGGGCCTGCTTTGCTGCCGGTGTTCCTGGTACGGTCCACCTGGTCTGGCCCCTTCTTTCCTGCCCAGACAAACGCTGGCCTTGCACCCCTGGCTGTGCCTGGACGGTGATTCTCTTCTGCTGCTCCAAGGCCCTGTCCAGCATGGCCAGCAGGACACGCCCTCCACGTTACCCCTCTGGGCTGGCCCTGCGACTTGTGTGGGCCCTGCCGGCGGGGGGTCGAGGTGCTCCCCACCATGGGCACACGTCCTGGAGAATGAGCCTGGCTGTGTTGCTTGTTCCCTTGCAGACCAAGTACGACGCCAACCAGCAGGCCAGGAAGCACCTTCTCCCGGTCTCAGCGGCAGACCTGAGCGGCAAGGAGTACCACCAGAGCTCCTCAGAGCAGCCCCACAACGGCCTCCTCTTCCCCCAGCACGGGGACCAGTATGGCCGCAGCAGCCTCCTCACAGGCCCCTTCCCGCATGGCCGGCAGGGCTACCCACATGCCTACGGCTTGAGCCGCTATGATGTGTAGCAACCAGTAGGCAGGACAGATGATTCTGTGCCCCACCCAGCGTCAGGACCTCCTGTGGCCAGTGCACACGCACCCTAGCGAGGGGACACCACGTGACTCCCCATCGCAGACCTGAGCCTGCCCAGTGAGCAGGACATGCCTGCAGTGCCGACGGCCACGGGCTCTGGGCAGGCCGGGTCTAAACAGACAACGTTTTGTGCCCATTTTCCTGGGGCACGTCATCTGCGGCCATGTCCCTGCCAAGGCCTCGGCCCACTGTACGCTTCCATGTGGAATGATGTCCCAGGCCGCGGTTCTAGGCTCCTGTTCTGCTGTCCAGGGAACACTCAGGACCTGTTTCCCAGGGGCATTGCTGTGACGCAGACCAGAAGCGCGCCCAAGGTGGGCTTCCCCGGAGAGGACCCGAGGGCGGTGCTGCTGTGTCCCCTGCTCAGACACAGGGAGGACACACAGCGCCTCGTCCAGAACACCTCCCGCAGCATAGTGGTCCTGGTCTCCCACCGGCCCCGCCCACTCACGACTCCCAGCAGATGGCCCTACGCGAAAGGCTGGTGCAGCATGCCCTGTGCCCACATGCTGGGGTTGGCGCCTGCCCGCTCCCTGCCCTGCACTCCTGCCCAGGGTCAGCTCCTTCCGCGGCAGAGGGAGGACCTCTGGAAATCATGTTCAGTATCGCAGCTCTGCTTCTGTAGCAGCCGCCGTCTTTCCGGATGCGTCTCCACTGCTTCTGTGATGACTTGGTAGGATGTTGGCTGGGAAGTCTTGATTTTATGATCTTTCCTTTTTCTAGGGACTGTTTTGTAGTCGTGTGTGTGTGTGTGTGTGTGTGTATGAGAGAGAGAGAGAGAGAGAGAGAGATGCAGAGAGAGGCCTGGGTCCCAACGAGGGGGTGCATTGGGACTGGCTTGTGGATTGAAAACCATTTTGTTCCTGAGCATTTAAAACAAGAAAAATTCCTACTGGTGATCCTTCTATCTCAGTGTTAGCAGGAAGTAATGAAGTGTTTGAAGCTTCTCTCTCAGTGACACAATTGCTGAAAATGGAGTGAATCAAGATGGTTATCTCAAGATTCTTGCCTACTAGACAAGGCCAGTGTCCAGGATCTGTGATCTGATTCTGTGTTGTTAGGGCCTGCATCATGTCCTGTTTAAGAGGAGATGTATGAGTGCCATGCTAGGATTTGGTTTGCTGAATCGCGAGGGGGACACCAACCCAGAATTTATTCATAAAAAATTGTGTGTTTTTTTTTTTCTGAGTGGGAGTCTCACTGTGTCACCCAGGCTGGAACGCAGTGGCACGCTCACAGCCACTGCAGTCTTGCACTGCGGGGCTCAGGGGATCCTTCTGCCTTAGCCTCCCAAGTAACTGGAACTACAGGCATGCGCCACCACAGCCGGCTAATTTTTTAATTTAATGTAGAGATAAAGTCTCACCAAGTTGCCCAGGCTGGTCTAAAACCCTTGGACTCAGGCAATTCTCTCTACCTCCCAAATGCTGGGATGACAGGTGTGAGTCACCACACCCAACCAGTGTATTCTTACATGTTTAAATTCAGTCACTTTCAAAATATTCTTTGCTGGATGTGTTTGATGCAATAATACTTGTCAAGACACTTTTTCCACTGCTTAAGACCTTTTGGACTCAGTTTTGATGCCTTCGAGTGCTTCTGCCGTTGTTTCGTTTCACCTCTTCCACATTGGCAAAGTTTCCCTTTGAGGACTTTATTTATCCTGGGAAACAAAACATGTCACTCAGGTTGGTACTAGGGCGGATGGGGAGGGCAGGGCATGGGGGTCATGCTGGTTTGGGTCCGAAACCGCCGAACACTCAGCGTCCCGTGGGTCGATGCGCTTGTAAATCACCCATCGTGAAATGGGCAGGCACCTCGGGAGAATTTCTAGACAACAACTCCCCGAAGCAGAATGCAGCCTCTCCCAACACGAGCTGGCACTCTGAGGCTGACGGGTCCTAGAACACCCCTAGCGGGGGAAGCCTGTGCTACAAGGGGCCCGCCCTCCAAAAAATACCCCCCCTTTTTTTGGTTCCCCCTCATATTCTTTAGTCAAGAACAAGCTTGGAGCTAGGCCCGGTGGTTTGTGCCTGTAATCTCAGCACGTTGGGAGGCCAGGGCAGGAAAACGACTTGAGTCCAAGGTCGGAGGTTGCAGTGACTTGTGATGACACCACTGCATTCCAGCCTGGGCCACAGAGCAAGACCCTGTCAAAAAATAAGCTGGAGTTTTGGCAGAATTCCATCGGGAAAATATAGGGCCCCAGAAGGTAGTCCTGTGTGGAGGTGCAGACTGTGGTCTGTCTTTCCTGGCTGCGCCTTCAGAGGGGCTTAGCTGGGCCTGTGGGGTCTCGGTGGTGGCTGCCTTTCCTGTAGCTGGCGTTCGAGCGGGAGCAGCCCCGGGGCAGCGGTGCACCCTTTGTCTCCCGGTGAGATGTCTCCCTGTTCTGAGAAGACGTCATATGGCTTGCACTTGGCTCCTGGGTTTTTTCTTTTTCCTTTTGTTTTGAACTTTGTGTTTAGAATGTTTTGTCAGCTTACAAGTGGCCCCTCCTGGGGAGGTGGCTGGTCCTCCTGCCTGCCTGAGTCTCTGCATTGCCAGCCCAGAAGCACCCCTGCCTGCCCATCTTGTCGGTTTGCTTCATAAGCGCCCTGGTTGTGTTTTGAAACAGCTGCTGTGTAGAATGGGCAGAGGCAGCCTGAGGGTGTCCCTTGTGGAAGGGCAGCCAAGTCCCGAGGCAGGCGGGTCCGCGGGCAGATATGCCCGCTGGGAGTGAATGGGATGACCTGGCACTACTGACAGTGCAGGAGTCATCGGTGTTCACAGCACGTGGTTCTGTGAATGGACAGCTGACCTCCAAAGTGAACGTGCCTCCAGCCAGTCTTCATGAAGCCTCTGATGTTGCTAAAGCGTGTATGTCTGTCTTCCTTTTTCAGTGCAAGCTCTGTCAGTGAAGGGATAGGACTGTCTGGACCTATTATGGCTCACAAATGGGGAACTTAATCCTGTCAGTAATGTACAGCACATTCACACACCAGATGATTCAACAATCATCTTAGACCAGATGGTGACATCGTGGGGCCTGGAGGGTTTGAGCCAACAAGGCCTCCCGATGCTAGTGTCCCAGCTGCCCAGTGCCCTGTCCAAAGCCCCCATGCCGGCATCTGTGGCTGTTCTTCTCGCCCTCCTTGTGCCAGGGCTGATGGTAGAGACCTTCATGTACCCAGCCAGCACACCCACTCTGACCCAACCCCTGATTTTACAGGAGGCCCTGCAGCTCAGAGGGTATCTGCTTAGTGTTTGTTCACAATCGTGCAGCCCAGTGTGACTCTTGAGCACCTCATTCTAAGTCTTTCATTGTGGCAAAGTCAAACCCCTGTCACCAGGAGCCAAGCCAGACCGGACTCTGCTGTGTGTGTAGCCAACGACATGTAGCCGGGACACACTCAGCCCTGACACCTTAAGGTCCAGCAGCCTAAAGGGCAGAACACGAAGCTATTAAAAGACCCGAGAACTGTTAGACGCTTTTCACTGTCACCTGTCTTTGAGACTTACCTGCTGTAGACTGTTCTGTGGAAATGACACGTATTTATTCTTGATGGCATTTACCAAAAATAAATGATGGTCCCCAGGGAGCCAAGCTCGGTCCCAGTTTGTCAGTGAGGGTGTTTCTGAGTGACCCTGTCTTCAGTGTGCCCACAGCAAACAGAAGAGTGAGAAAGAGCATACCGACCTGGCTCTTACATCTGGATGCGTTGCAACATTTTTTTCTTCTGAGCCAAAAATTAGGAAGACTGAGTAAAAATAGACTCAGCTGAATAGCTGACAACACCCTTTACTGAACAGTGACACAACACGGAAGGCTGCGGCCACTGTGCTCTCAAAGCTGCTGTGGAGTAATAATAGCTACAACTGAGTACCTGCAACTAGCCACACTCGGTCCTCATGCTGTTGTGGGAAGGGTCGTCTGCCTTGCTTTACAAACGGAGGCAGGCCAGGGGAGCCAAGTCACCGTCAGGTCACATCGCAGCACAAGCCTGGCTCAGAGCCGGTTTCCCCATGGGACTCAGCCGTTCCCACTGGGAAGGCTTTCAAACATAGGTGGTGAAGGCATGAGCTTCTGTTAGAGCAAGCGTCCACCTCCTCTTGTACACGGATTTACTAAGGCCTGTGCGGAGGACCGGGAAAGAGACCCATGAGCCTCCTGCCCTACAAGCTCAGGGCTGAGGTCACAGTTGAGTAGCTAGGTGAGTAGGGGGCGGGGCGGGGGCTGCTGTGAGACGGCGGGCTCGCTCTGGGGATCACAGGGCATCAGAACCCAAATGGGAGCTAGTACCAAGCCCCGTTTTAGAGTGGGCAGCAGGAGCAGAGGCCTGGGCTTGGCCGTGGAACAGACGGGAACCCGGGGCATCTGTCTCCATGCCCAGGCCCTTTGCTCTGCAGAGCACTGAGACGAGTGCTCCAGAGGGGTGGGACCAGGGTTCTTGCCCAGGCCTCCCTCTAGTTAGACCCTGAAGTGCTGAAGTCTGGGCCACACAGGTGGTTTTGCCATCTGCCACCATAATTACGATAGGACTTCGAAGCTCTGCCCTGGGATGGGGTCACTGGGGTCTCTGCGCTCTGAGTCGGGGGCCTGTTCTTCAGGGATGGGTTTAGGGACAGCCCTGTTGAGAGTCCAGCCAGACACAAGAGTCTGAGCTCCCAACCAGAGTGTTCTCCCAGAGCCTGGAATACTGCTTGCCTCCTCAAGTCACCTTCTCTGTGACCACAAGCTTGCTGATGACGTGAACACAGTCAGGCCCAAGGAACACTCCTTGCTCCAGCCGTCACAGCGTCCTCGGTTCAGCCTCTTTCCAGGCAGAACAGAACCATCTCACTCCCGCCGTGGTGGTGCTGACCACACAGGGTTCACGGTCACATTCGTCACACCAAGCCAGGGCTTTACCGACACCATCAGGCTGGATTTCTCAGTCACCCACCACCCACTACATTTTTAATAGCCTTTG